CTACTTGCAAAAATGACGCAAGATCTTCTACTAGCTTCGCCCACTCACCCTTTATTTTCTTTGAAGACTGGGTCATCTGCCAAAATTAGTCTTATTCTAAGAAGTACTAGCCCCGCCCACCCACCCTTGTTTCCTTACAGGATATGTCATTTGCGAAAATCAGTCTCATACTTACGAAGATAAGACTGATTTTTGCAGACGACCTATTCTCTATTTTCTTAGAAGAGTAGGTCATTTGCCAAAATGAGTCTTATTTTGACAAATACTAGCCCGGCCCACCCTCCTTTTACTTTCTTAAGAGAGTAGATCATTTGCCAAAATCAGTCTTATCGTAGTGAATACTACTAGATTCTTCAGTTTTTCGATCTTTCAACTTTCGAATTTTTCAATTTCTCGCTTTTTAAATTTTCGATTTTTTGTTCTGTCTTTGGATTTTTTAATTTTGCAATTTTGGCAGTTTTCCGATTTCTCAATTATTTGATCGAGAAATATCGAGAAAATAGATGTTTATTTCTTTTAATTTTCGATTTTTGATTTTTTGTCACCGAGTTTTTGGAAGGAAGTAAAGTAATTTTGATCAGCGACTTCCCATGCTTACCGTAACTTTTAAACATCTGTAAATTTTGTTTCTAATTTTCAATTTTTCAATTTTTGGATTTTTCAAAATTTTGGTTGGAATAAATTTGTTCTTTTAGTTAAAAAATCGAAAAATAACAAATCGTGAAAAAGAAAAACTCTAACTTGAGAACTTGAAAATCAAAAGATTCAAAGTTGTAAAGTCAAAATTTGCAAAAACAATAGATTGGAATGAAAAACTGCAAAATTGCGAAACAAATTATCCAAAATGAAAAATTCAAAAGTTGAAAAATCTAAAAACTAAAAAAAAAGTGAAAACTGGAAATTCGAATTCGATTTTATAAGAACTGTTTTTTCTTTCAATTTTTGGATATTTCAGTTTTTGATTTTCGGGTTAAATAGTTGTACAATTTTCCGATTTCTCATTTATCCGATTTTTCAAGTTGTCATTTTTTGATTTTTAATTTTTTTATTTTTAGCAAGTGCTAACCCCACCCACCCAGCCTTTATTTTCTTAGCAGAATAAGCGATCTGCCAAAATTAGTCTTATCTTGACAATTACTAGCCCCCCGCCCACCCTCCCTTATTTTCTTAGAAGAGTGGGTCATCTGCCAAAATCAGTCTTATCTTGACAAGTACTCTGAAAAAATGCTGATATTTTTCATATTTTCCTACTAAGGTACATGAGTCAGCTTAGAGAACAAAACACAACCCAAGGGGTTATTAAACCCACAGGTCAACAACAGTCACGTGCCAACCGAAAAGGCAGTGCCCGAACCGGGCCGAACAAGGGGCCAGGTCAACCGAGGACAGGACGATGACAAACGCTACAACCGTCCCTGAGGACAAGATCACGACCGGTCAATGAACGTCGCTAAAATTAATGGGGCTGCTGCACCAGTTTGACCTCATTTGACCTGGTCTAGAAGCCCCACTATATTTTATATATACACTATATTGAAAAAAATGGTATCCAGCTTACAGAACCAAAATTAATTGCTAACGTATTTAATGCCTTTTTCAAATATGCTCCAGTGAATATTATTAATCTGATTCAATCCAAGCAAAACGATAATCATGATCGAATAAATTTTCCATCATCAAGAAAAAGTCGAATTTGTCTAACTCCTTTTCACTCGCAAGAATTAGCTAACTTATACAAAACATAATATACCAATATGTTTAGTCAATTTGTCTTTCATATGTTTATATGCAATAAGTTGACGTCATAACTTTTACAAATTTGACGTAAAATTGTTTTGACATATGTGAAAAAATGGAGAGTAAAATGAATTGACATGTTTTTGCATTTTTTTCAAAAACAAATTGCTTTAACCCTGTATGACATCCCTACAACTGTAATAAGTAGTTTGTGTTGCCTAATAGTATATTAAAGAACGAGTTTCATAAGGCAAATATTGAGGCACGAATCCAAGTTTATAGAACGAGCGGCGAAGCCGCGAGTTATATAAAGGATGAGTGCCTCAATGGCCTTATGAACGAGTTATTTATACTATTTTTTCTACCGCACACGTTTTTTCCCAAAATTTAATTAAAATTTGCATTTTTTTTAATCTGGGGACTTTTGTCGTGGTTGGTGATGGGTTGGTCTGACACTAACCACGAAATATTTGAGGTTCGAATTTTCACAACAACAATTGTAATTCGAATCAATTCGAGTTTTCGTAATTTAAAATTGGTTAAAATGTCTTGCGAAGAAGTTACGCGTCCGGAAACGTGGGAAATTTTAAGTTTAGATTTGCCACTGACATTCACCTGACATTTCTCGTCATTGCTACCAATCTTACCGATCTAAATTACACCAGATCTATTAAAGAACGCCTTTCCGCTATTAACGAACTGCTGTGACGTCATTTGCGTGCGTTAATAGCTCTATTAGAAAACCAAAAAATGTGGGCGGTAGAAAAAGTACATCTAAAAGTTCTACATTTTTAAAATTTGCCGAATTTGTTCACAACTAATTTTTGTACGCACTGCATATGCAACGAATGCTGACTCTACCCACTTATTAACCGGAATCGTCGAACAATTCCGCCAAATCAGGCATTTTCCTGCTCCCGTTTAGTGGGGGCGGAACTAGCAATTTAAAATACCGAATCACCAAAAATTACAGAATTTGTTAATTGCGTGTCCTGTGTAAATAAGAGTTTTAGTTAGCTGACTCATATCTTTGTGACAGTTTATTAAACGAGCTTTTTTATCATAGTCCGGCGTAATAAATCAATAAATTTTGTTGCGTCTGGTCATTTTAACAACCATTCATCATGCGTGCAAAATCACCTCGTCGTGGACATTAAATAGTGCAAAAGTTTGTGGGTTTTCGAAACACATTTGTGTGTAACTTGATTTAAAAAGCTTTTCCTTGTCATGTAGAGCTCGCATCGTCATTTAGTGTACACGTGGTAATAAAACACTGTTAAACACCAAACATGGAAGGATATATTGACATATTTCTTCTACAAAGTTGCTACCAGGAGAGCAATTGGGGTCTAGGACGGGTTAAATGGTTGTTTATTATAAAGGTACGTATTTGGGGAATGTTAATTTTTGCTTGTATATGACAATATTGTGATTTTCAATGTTCTGTGTAAATTGAATTGGACATTTTTTTACTAAACTTGAAAAAGTTGTCAAAATTTCAAATTATCAAAAGCCCGTTAGGGAATAATTTGGACACTAATTTTCAATTTCCTTCTTCAACCAAAGACAATGAGTTATTCTGCAAAGTGTGTGGAAAAGTTCTAAGTAAACATTTAAAATATTGAAGTTTGAATTATGTTCACATTTTTGTTTCCTAGTTTAAGTGCGAAAAAAAATCACACTTTGAACAACACTGCATTGGCGATGCATATAAAATGAACGAGAATAAATCTAGCAAACACACTTTATTAAACATTAGTTGCGACAATGATTTTACGCAATTTTGCACCGATTTATGTAGGGCATTTACCGCAGCAAATACGTTTTCAAAACTTAAAAGTGTTTTAAGCGATCAAAGGTGCAAATTTACTATCGAAAATTTAGAGAAATATATAGTTTGCTTTTGTAACTCATTTTAAATACCTGAATTATTATTTTATTTTTTGTTAAATGCGACTTGCTTTAATTTGATCGCCATTTTTTTGCGATAACTTAGAATTAATGGACGTAACCATAAATCGTTTGTTTATTTAATAATTTTTTTGTTTGTTATACAAAATATTTGTTTCTATAATGTTTTTTTTTTAATATATATTTTTTTTGATGTATGCTTTTTCGTTGAGCAAATATTTTTTCATTTCTTTTATTAATTTTTTAACGGCCTAAAATCCGAAGCCTAATAATTTGAGATGTTTTGATGGTCTCGAAATATTTAAAAACAAACATAGAGTGTTCCACGCAGATGCTGGTTTTATTCTCCACACTTTTTCATTCACTGTTGTGGTGAGTCAGGGGCGAAACTAAGTAAACAACTAAAGGTTATGGATGCTTAAGAAATTTATCTAAATGTCCCGATCGTGCTAACTTTGTGTACTATATAAAAATGTTTTTTTAATTCCACTGATTCTTAGTCGCTGCTGTGTTCGACGTAATTTTATTTTAAAGTAGACTTGATGTGAATGTCATAGTAATTGTACGTTTGGAATCTCATTATTTTTATTTTTTGTGGTATCTAGTAACAAGATTATTCTCATTATTTTCAGGCTACTGGAACAAACATAACCTTAAACTTTAAATTAACTGATTTTACCAGACCGTGGCTCTAGGGTTCTACGAATATACATATTTGTTTTGCTTACACACTTAAACTTAGTGTTAACAATAGCCAGGAGCTGTTTCGTGGTAAATGCTGGCAGCAGTGCTTTATGGATCAACGTGCGAAATAAAAACATCTTTCGCTTGTAGTGTGAACAACATTCTTCCTATGAGCTTTTTCGTTTTTTTTTTAATTATAAGAAAATTGAGTTTTAACCCTTTTGTGTCACTTTCCGCTTTTTTTGTTCCAAAAAATATACTTTTGTGGCTGCTCATAGGAAAATTTGTTGGTTGTTCTAATGCTGTGTAGAAACGGAACAGAAATGTGCAAAAACGTGAAACAATTTGAAATGAATAATTACTCTACCTGAATTTCTAAGCATTCTGGAAAGTCTAGAAATATTCAAATATAAGATGCTGGTTACACTTTAGAGTGGAAAGAAGCATTTATTCGTTTTAGTCAAGTGTGCATAAATTTAGAACACGATGAGCGTTTTATTAAAGGCATAGTATTATTTCCGATCAAGAACCAATCTAAGTATTAGAATATAGACATGCGTTGCGGAAAGTAGCAAGTCATTCGATCAATAATCGCAGAAAATATTGGTATTTGGTTTCTAGCGTTGGCGCTATTGGCATTGCGTGTCGAACTACTAAAGGAAAGTCACCTGGCATTCCAGCATCGTCATAGTCTTTCGGCGAATTGACCCGGTTGTTAGATCCTCCGCGTCCGAATCTATCCCCAGCTCGTGTTTTACCTAAACACACATTTCATCACCGGTTACATTCAATTATGATATATAATCTCATAAAAATATTATCGGCAGCCGTAATATTTAGGAAAGCCTTTATTTATTCAACTCCAATAAAATGCTGTAAGGCACAACACGAAACCACTTAGGCTTGCTCAGAGGCACTCATATAACTTCCACGGTGATCATTCAGCCAACATAAAACATTTTAAAGCTCATTCAAAACGTGCAATGAGCGTAATTGGCGACGTTTTTATGTTTACCGGCGTCACCAACCAAAGAAGATCCGGATAGAAGAGTTTATTACTCCGGGCAAGATACACGACAAAACTAATAAATGCTACAAGACGTTTAGATAATAAATTCGCTCTTTACCTTTCTTTTTCGTTGGCAGAGACGGGAATTGAGTTGTTGTTCGAAGCGTCGTGGGCGCTGGAATTTCTGAAATCAGAGATTGATTTTTGCGTTTGATATAGAAAACCATCGATTTTGGCGGAATCTACCTTCCAGTTTTATCACGCCGTCAGTTTCCCCGAGGGAATTTTTGGCGACGCACTTGTAGGAGCCGAAATCCGATTTGTTGACTCGGCGAATTTTCAACATCATGTATTTTTTATAGCCATTATCCATGGACACTGCTTCGTACTTATCACCTGTAAAGAGATCTCAGTGTAAATTGGACGGAAGAACGGGGCTGACGGGAATTATGCATAGCATTTTCGTTCATATTTTCGGCTCTTCCGGATAAAGCGGCTGTAAAAGTTACAAAAGTAAAAGATATCGTTTCAAAAATGCGAAAGTGATTTGATTAACTCTTTTTGAGCAGCTCCAAAATATAAAAGTTTATTAATTCGACTAAACTTTCGATTAAGTCATTCACCTAAAGTGTGTTAAAAAGGTTTAAGAAAACTAATATCACTCTGTACAGACATATATTTTTTGGGAACTGTGTTTCTTGAACGAAATGGGCCAGTGAGTTTTTGACCAAGCAACAACCACGAGTTAACTGAAATGAGACGTTTTTAAAAAAAATGTACAGTATGTATGTATTTTACAGAAATATATAACAAAGCATCGTAAAATTTTCTGTTTACTTCAGTTATTCAAATATTTAACGCTCTTAATGGAACTGATGCAATTTATTTCGCAGTTAATAATTTATATGCAATTTACGTTTGAAATTTTTACCCAATGTTTCTTTTTTCTCTATAGCTTCAACAAATTAAAAAGCGCATTAACAAGTCTACTACTGTAATTAATTCAACTGCAGTTTTCCTAATTCCATTTTATTCCTCTGCGTAATCAAGTTGAGTAAGCTTTCTGATGAAAATTTTCCTAGTCTTTTTTGTTCGTTACCAGTTCGTTTTTGTTGTTTTTTTTTTTGTTGATCTGAGGAAGGTGTTATTTATTCACAATACAATTTTGTAGCATTTTCAATCCTGTTGTTTATTTATGCGTTGTTTGTCTACTCATGTTGTATTTTTGTTATTTATTTGTAATCCTGCAATTTGATTTTGGGTGGTTAAGTTGTCTAAATTTGATAAAATAATATACTCGTGGTTTATGAATCCGCTTTGTGCTCTCACAACAAATTTAATATTTTTCGAAAAAACTTTTTTATTTGTGTTTCTGTTCTCTCTTTCGCTCTATTATTACCTAAATTTAAGACAGTGCTTACCAGTGTTATGACCATACAATTGTAATGTTGCCTTTTATTACTTTTTTTATTCTATTGCTATACTTGTCTCAATTTCCCAAAACTTGGTTATTTGACTCTCCTTTGAGTCTTTAGTGAAGAACTCCGATAAAATATTTATAGCGTTTTGTCCTCTGCTGTTTCGCTTCATTTGAGCTTTTTTAGGGATTCTATAATTATATTTGCTTGGAATTTTTCTTGTTCCATCCGTCATTTATCTTCTTTATTACTTTATTCATCGTCATCCTCCTCTTGATTATCTCCCATAGTCAGTTTTGACCCAAATATTCTTTCCACCCCTTGAATTATGTTTTCTTATTCTACCAATATTTTACCTTCTTTCTACATTACACATGTGTATCTGTCGTGTTTACTTTACTTGTCTCTTTTTCCAACTTTTGTCCTTTATTCCCTAGATGTAAATCACTGTTGCTTCCTTAATTTTTAACGTAGGTATCCAGATTTAAAAAAAAAAAACTAAATTGTATAAAGATATTTAATAATTATTTAACTTAGAAACTGCAAAACCAAATATTCTGAAGGTTACTGTAAGTCTAGTAAGCGTTATTTAAAATTTTTATTCTATTAAAAATTATAACTCAACTTATAGAATTTTTATAACATGAGATAAATTGAACTCACATTTTACGTTTATTTGAATAGAAGTCGTGAGGGCGATTTCGGATTCGTAACTGGTGGAAAATTATCCACAATTTAACAAAAAAAAAAAAAAATTCTCACTCGATCGATAGAAACCATCTTAACCAGTTTTTTGAAAAATTTTTAAAATTGTAAACTCAGTTTTCACGTTTATTTGAAAGATATCTTGACGGCGATTTCGGAGTCGTATTTAGACAAAAATTAGCTACAATTTGACAGCAATTTTCAGTCGATTGAACCCATGTTGACCATTTTCCGGAAAAACTTTAAAAATTTCAACCCGCACTCCCCATGTTTATTTGATGCGATGTCGTGACGTTGATTTCGAATTTATAATTGGCGTAAAATAACCTACAATTTGACACCAATTCTCAGTAGCGTAAAATCCAGTTTAACGATTTTGTGGAAAATTTTTGACAATTTTTGACTCACTATTTACGTTTATTTGACTATATTTCGTGACGCTAATTACCGATTTGTAATTGTCGAAAGATTGTCCACAATTTGGCAACAATTTTCAGTCGTTTGAACCTACCATGACAATTTTTTTTTAATTTAGAAAATAGTCAACTCAATTTTCACCTGTGTTGTATTTGATTAAATGTTGGGACGGCGATTTTCGTTTTGTAATTATCAGATCATTATCTACAACTTGAAACTAATTCTCAGCTGATTGAATCCATTTTAATAGTTTTTTGGAAAAGTTTTGAAAATTGTAAAATGAATTATCACGTTTATTTGAATGTTCAGTTTGTGAATTGTAATTGGTGGAAGATTATTTGCAATTTAACACCAATTCTCAGTCGATTGAAGCTATTTTAACAATATTTTTGGAAAAATTTTGAAAATCGTAAACTCACTTTTCAGTTTTCAATCGGCTGAACCCATTTTGACCATTTTTCCGGAAAAATTTTAAAAATTGTAACCTCATTTCCACGTTTATTTCACATTTGTAATTGGTGAATCATTACCTACACTTTGACACCAATTCTCAATAGAGTAAAACCCAGTTTAGCCATTTTCTTGGAAAATTTTGGGCAACTTTGAACTGGCTTTTTACGGTTATTTTACTATATGTCTTGAGACTGATTTCCGATTTATAATTATTGTGGAAAGATTTTCCATAATTTAGCACCAATTCGATTGTACCCATTTTAACAATTTTTTTCAAAAAATTTAGAAAATAATAAACTCAATTTTCACATATATTTGATTAAATATTGTGACAGCGATTTTGGATTTGTAATTATCAGATGATCATCTACAATTTGAAAATAATTCTCAGTTGATTAAACGCATTTTAACACTTTTTTTGGAAAAATTTTGAGAATTGTAAAATCAATTATCACGTATATTTGAATTTTCAGTTTGAGAATTGTAATTGGTGGAAGATTATCTGTAATTTGACACCAATTCTCAATCGATTGAAGCCATTTTAACCATTTTTTTTGGAAAAATTTGGAAAATCGTTAACTTACTCTGCATGTTTATTTAAACAGATTTCATGATGGTAATTTCTGATTTGTAATCGTTCGAAGACTGTCAACAATTTGACACCGATTCAGTCGATTAAACCCATTTTCACATTTGAAAAAAAAATCCAAAATTGTAAACTGAATTTTCACGTTTATTTGATTAGATGTCATTACGGTGATTTTTGATTTTATTATTAGCAGAAATGTAACTATTGCTTTACACTAAATCTCACTGGTTGAACCGATTTAAACCACTTTTGGAGAAATTTTTAAACCTATAAAATTACTTTTCACGTTAACTTGAATAAATGTCAATTAATGGCAATTTCAGAGTAGTAATTGCCAGAAAATTTTCTACCATGTGAGATTAATGCTCAGTCAATTAAACCCGTTTTAACAATTTTTTGAAAAAATTTTGAAAATTGTAAATTTACTTTTCATGTTTACTTGAAAAATATCTTGCCGGCGATTTTGGATTCGTATACACGAAAATTTTACAATTTGACACAAATTTTCAGTCGATTTTGCCAATTTTGAGCATTTTACAGGAAAAATTTTGAAAAGCTTAACCTCAATTTCCACATTTACTTGACTGAATGTCGTAACGGCAATTTCAGATTTTTAATTGGCGCAAGATTATCTACGATTTGGCACCAATTCCTAGTAGAGTATAACCCATTTTAATCATTTTTTGGAAAATTTTTGAAAATTTTGAACCCGTTTCTTACGTTTATTTGACTAGATGTCGTGACGCAGATTTCCAATTTGGAATTGCCCGAAGTTTGTCCATAATTCGGCACCAATTCTAAGTCGATTGAACCTATTTTAACAATTTTCTTTTTAAACTTCGAAAATAAGTACTTAGTATCAAAACTCAATTTTCACGTTTATTTGATTAAATGCAGTGACAGCGATTTAGGATTTGTAATTATCAGAAAGTTTCCTACAATTTGAAATTAAATCCTCAGTTGAACACAATTTAACTTTTTTTTTTGGAAAAATTTTGAAAGTTCTAAAAATCAATTTTCGGTTTATTTGATTATATGTCCTCGCGGCAGTTTGGAAATTGTAGTTGGTGGAAGATTATCTACAATGTGACACCAGTTCTTAGTCGATTGACGCCATTTTGACCACTAATGGTAATTTCTCATTTTTTATTGATGAAAGATTGTCCACAATTTGGCAGCAATTCTCAGTCGATTGATTGAACTTTTTTTTTTTAATTTTGAACATAGTAAAATTTATAATTTGATTAAGTGTCGGGACGGCCATTTTGGATCTGTAATAAGCGGAAGATTATCCACAATTTGAAACTAATTCTCAGGTGGTTGAACCCATTTTAACAATATTTTTGGAAAAATTTTGAAAATTGTAAAATAATTTTCACGTTTATTTCAGTATGTCGTGGCGGCGGTTTAGGAATTGTAACTGTCGAAAGATTGTCCACAATTTGATACCAATTCTCAGTCGATCGAACCCATTTTAACAATCTTTTTCAAAAAAATTTTGATAATATGAATTTTCACGTTTATTTGATTAGATGTCCTAACAACAATTTTGAATTTGTAATTAGCAGAAATTTAGCTATAGTTTGAGACCAACTCTCAGTCGAGTGAAGTCATCTTAACCATTTTTTTTTTGGAAAAATTTTGAAAATCGTAAACTCACTTGCCACGTTTATTTGAATAGATTTCGTGATGGTAATTTCTGATTTGTAATTGGCGAAGATTGTTCACAATGTTGCCACCAATTCTCATTCGACTGAACCCATTTTAATAGTCATTTTCAAAAAATTTCGAAAATTGTAAACTAAATTTTCACA